CCAACACCCTCCAAGCGACTCCCCGAATGCCTCTCACGGCCCTTCGCGCTTGGTGATGAGCTAGCCTGGTCCGGGTGGAAAGCCGCCGTGCTCCATCACGGCTTTGTAGAGGTGCGAGGTGGTCAACGGTCAAACGAATAGTGCAGCATGCACCGCTACCAGCACGCCCCAAACTCCAACTCACGGCATCAGGAAGATTCGCCACAGCGCCGCGGCTACCGAGGCGCAGAGCGTCTTCGCGCCCACCGGCAGGTTCTTGGTCGAGTCGTAAGACTCCATCAAAGCCAAGACCCCCGTGTTGGCCGCAGTGTCTCCGAAGCGCGACATCGGCCCCTGGATCAGCGCCGGCCCTACCCCCCGGTAGAACCTGCCGATCCCCCCCTGGCTGTACAGAGTGCTGAAGGGAGGCGGGAGACGATGACAAGGCCGAATCGATCGCGGGATGTCATAGGGAAAGCGAGAGCGTGGGCGAGAATTGAGGGTGATGGGTGAGTTGATGTCAGTCTCCGTCGACACGCCACGTGTCTCACAACAGGATACACCTTTGTCTGGCTCTGTCTGGTTCTCAGTCTCCGGCTTTNGGGGGGGGGGGGGGGGGGGGGGGGGGGGGGGGGGGGGGGGGGGGGGGGGGGGGGGGGGGGGGGGGGGGGGGGGGAGTGCGCTGCTGGCGCTTCACAGGGTAGGTGCATGGGGAAAGCCTATTGACAAAAAAAATCACTTAAGCCAAAGTTGCCTCCTTCCGCAGATGACGAGCAATCCATGGATAACAGTTACATTTTTCATTACTTCTCGCGAGGGGGGGGGGGGGTACTCATAGTCGTGCATGCTGTAGTCGTTAGACCATTGACCTCGCATCCCTACAAAGCCGGGACGGAGCACGCCGGGTTCTCACCGGACCAGGCTCTCACATCACCAAGCGCGAAGCGCCGTGAGATATTCGGCGAGTCGCATGAAGGGTGCGCTGCATCCTGCTAAGGGTGTTCGGCATCTTGTGCTTACTTCCTTGCGTACGGATGACAGCTGCGTATGACTTAATTTATTTTCTGGTGCTTTCACTTCCAGAGACAGTTGTAAGCACTGTGTAACTGCCTCGAGGGTGCTTGACCATTTTAACACAACGTGGTGCGATCATCCCCCTTGCGCGGAGTGAGGGTTCTCCACCCCGCACAACATGATCTACTCGACCACCATTATGGTTACCGCCAAAAAAAAAAACGGAGGTAAAAAAAAAAACGGTAACCTGGTTGCCGAGTTCACGAAGTGAATTGGCTTGTTTTACAACGTCGTTGCCAAGCGACGAAAACCCAACCCCGATGGCAGTCGGGGGGGGGGGCGGCGGACAGCAGTCTACGCAGGTTTTTCAAGCAAGCGAACACATTAGATCTAGAATCGGTTAAGTTGGGGTCGGGGTTAGGGTTAGGGTCTGCGTACCCCCTGCCTGCTCTTTCTTCGAAACACATTTTGTCTTTTTGCATGTTGTACGAAAAGAGAAGATAGCAAACGACGTACCGGAAGGCATCCATCGTCCCACCGCCGTGCCGCAGCTGGTAGTTGATCGTCGTTCGCATCCACCTAAAACACCACAGCAGTTTTCGCGCGGTGAAGCCGGGACGAGCGGAAGGGATGAGGCCGGGTCGTTGGGTTAAGGCGTGGACCGGTGGCGGAGAGGATTTGCGGCGGCGGGGAAGAAGAGGAGACATTTCGGGAAAAGTCGGTACTTCGCACGGCGCAGGACGGGGAAATAGATCCGCGTTCTGTTGCGCGTGCTTCCCAGCGAAAAACGGCGAGCTATTGTATGCGACCTTACAAGCACGCAACAACGCCGTCGCTGTGCTACGACACCAGTGCCGACCTACGTCACTCTGTCACCCGTAAGGCCTTTCCCAGTGTTTCTGGTACGTGGGACACACTGTAGACGGGTCCCTCGCGGTTAACCCCCCCGACAAGCACGGCACCGAACGAACGTGAAATAACATAGAATCAAGAAACTCCCACGAAAACTTCCTCCTGCCGTGTGACTGCGGAGGTTGATGCGTCACAACATGTCGCAAGGTGGATAACCCGACGCCCAGGAATAAGCCGACATGACCAACACACGCATGCAGACCGACAGCGACCGGTAGGGACGCAGGGGCACGCAGCTATTATACTACTGCTGTTGAGCAAAAAACGCCTCGGGGCAGCTACAACTGCTGTAAAGCATAAAACACGCCTCGGGAAAAACGAATAGCACAGCAGAATTCCTGCTGCACTGCTCTTGTGCGCGAACTCCCTCGGAAAAAGAAAAGAAACCGTGGCACCGTTCCCACCCTATTGCCAGAGATGCTACACATCATATTCCCCGCGGTGCGCCCACCACGGACGTTACCGGTACACACCCCACCGCACCGGCCGGTGTCAAGGCACAACTGTGTAACAACGCCTCCGTCATCTGAACGCCACATGAATCTTTGCATTCAAAGCTGAGAGAGAGAAACCAAGCTAGCTGGAACACGCTTCCCGCAGACGCCCTCTGCGCCTATGTCGTGTCTCTGCCCTCATCCTGCCCCCCCCCCCCCC